CCGGGCTACACAGCCTCTCTACCTGAGCAGCTGAAGCTGCGGCTCGCACCCTCGACACACATGCTTCTGCATGCCAGCCAAACGTGTGCGCAACTGTGAGAAATAAATATGTGAGGTGTACGCTGCTTTTCTATCTTTTTTCCCTTTTCTTTCTTTCTTTCTGTCAGCGACATACACTCCTAACACAGGACGGGTTGTTTTAATTGACTGAGTTGATCATTAAGCCATAGTGATGCGCGGATCGGCTCTGATAGCGCCCGACTCAGCATGTACGCATCAACCATCCAGCCGTTACAACATGATTGAGCTAGCAAAGCAGTTTTGTGTTGCTATGTGTGGTATTTATTCAGTTTGGAGAAATCACGATGTCTAGAAAGCATCAGTGGCTGCAGCTGACAGGGACAGCTAACGTTAACACTAGCAGCAAAGCTAACATCAGGATCGTCATCCGTTAAAAGCCTCCCGTTGTCAGATACGACATGAAACTACTCCAGTTAGCTCAATCGTGTTGTAACTAAAACACCCGCTGGAGAAAATATTTTTTTCACGGGCCACTTTGTGAGTTTAGTCAGTTATTACAGACACGACTAACGGCTAACAGCTAACGGTTAGCCCAGCTAATCTACGATAACCATGTTATTAATTACACACAGAGAAAATACTAATGTTTGTTCAGTCATTGTGTTTATAGACTTTACAAACATCAGATTAGTCTAAACGGTGATATAGTGAAGCTGGCTGCATTCTGTTTTGCCTCCATGTTTCTGTGAAAAATAAGGTGGATTGGCTGTGTGAGAAGGTCAAGATTTTATAGCAGTTATCAACAGTCTTACAGCTGGGTTTCCTGCAATGCTTTATAGCACCTAAAATGAAAAACATCTTCAGTAACATCATAAAAAATTATTACACACACAAAATACACCATCAATCACAAGGGAAAAACTGCAGTGGCACTATTATTAGGGATGTCCTGATGAAGTTTTTTTTGGCACAGATCTGAGTCCTTTAGCAGTGGGCATCTGCCAAAACGGAGTCCAATCAGATAGTAAGATTTATTTGAAAGATGATTAAATATATATCTGACACATTGAATTAACAGCTGCAGCTACTTAGTCTGGTGCATCCTATTTTTTACAAGCTACGTGATCCAAATACTGAAGAGCCTGGTTCAGACCTATTACGTTTATAAGCTTGAAGTATTGATCTGATATGATTGAAAGATTAACTCGGAAATCGTGACTCCTGAGACTGATTTGAAGCAATCCGCTAGAGAGAAGACCTGTCACTCTGTAACACTGCTGTGCAACTGCGAGTTAACTCCAACAGAGTGATGCTTTTTGTTTTTGTTTTTTAACCTCATAAACAGTCTTTGGGTGAGTGCAGACATTGGTCTACAGAGAGCACACATACCAGACAACATTTAAGTTTAGTGTTGGCTTGGGCTTGCCATCAAGTTACTCGTGGAATTAATGTTAAAAAGTGACAGCTGATATGACCTGCTGCTGCTTGTTATTTTAACCTGTGAACGCCAGTGTCTGTGCTGGCTGAAAAGGAGAAGCTGAATGTTTTGTACACTGCATTTGCACTGTATAAACACATTTAAATATCCATAGTCGGTGTATTACCTACAGTAGATGTCAGCCAGCATGCTGCCAGTTTGAAAAAGCAGATAAGAATATCGAGTTTGGTCCTGAAAGTCTCACAGTAACATAAATAAAAAGTGATCGAGACAGCTGTATAAAAGCAGTTCCTTGTGTTCTGCAAGGTAAGATTACTGTTTCTGTCAAAAGGAGTCTAGTGGCTGTGGACGGGGGCCACAGCAAAATGCATCTCAGCCTTCTGAAAAAAAAACGCCTAATATCAGTTGAAGTGTACACTATATTTATTTATTTATTTATTATTTTATTATTATTATTTTACTGCTCCCCTCTTATTCCTGTGAACTTAACAATGGACTTATTAGAATTTGGTGGTTAAAGGTCAAGGTCACTGTGACCTTGTATATGCCTCATTCTTGTGAACACGATATCTCAAGAAGGCCTTGAGGGAGTTTCCTCTCAAGAATGAACTGATTAAAATTTGGTGGTTGGAGGTCAAAGGTCAACATCACTGTGACCTCACAAAACAAGTTTTAGGCCATAACTCAAGAATTCATATGCTAATTATGACAGAATTTCACACAAATGTCTAATAGGATATGATGATGAAGTGATGACATTTTATATCCAAAAGGTCAAAGGCCACCTTCACTGTGACATCATAATATTATGCAAAAAAAAATTGGCCATTACTCAACATCATAACTAAGGAACAGAAGGGGAAATATTTGGTCAGATACTAAATAAGTGATTCTAGTCTTTGGTCTTCACCTTTGAAACTGTGTTGATTGTATAAATCCTCTGTGCTGTGGTGGGGAAGATATGTGTAAAGCATCCCTGTTTTTACAGTCATGCACGTGAACTGAAAGAGCAATTTGACTGCTTGACGGAGGCATTCAACTGCAATGCAGTTTGGGATGGGAACTGGTTAGATTCATCAACATCATTAGCCTTTATGCTTAATGATTCCCTTATCGATTCTTTTCATTACGCTGAATCTTTACGTCGATGACATACATCGCGCTCGTCAGTCAGCAGTACGTTCAACAACAAAGAAGACGTAATGGTGGAGAGACAGAAGCAGTTGAAAGCTTGGCTTCACTTCACCAAAAAAGACTCATGATGACATTCACTCATCACAACAGCATGATGTTCAATTTATGCAGCAATCAACAATGACGTCAAGTTTTTTCAAAACCTTAGACGCATTGAGAGTAGGGATCTTACAACTTACTAACTGCTTATTGATCTGTTATTTAAACGCTACTCTTATTGGTTCTTGTGGGGTTTTTAAGAGGGGAAAAAAAGAAGTAAATTGTAATATACAGTCAGGTCCATAATTATTTGGACAATGATACAGTTGTCATCATTTTGGCTCTGTACACCACCACAATGGGTTTTAAATGAAACAATGAATACCTGCTTAAAGTGCAGACTCTCAGCTTTCATTTAAGGCTTTTTTTTCAAAAATGTAGTATGAACCGTGTAGGAATTACAACCATTTCTTCACACAGTCCCCCAACTTTAAGGGCTCATAAGTATTTGGACAAACTAACATAATCATCAATTAAACAGTCAGTTTTAATACTTGGTTGCAAATCCTTTACAGTCAATGACTGCCTGAAGTGTTGGACACATAGGCATCACCAGATGCTGGGTTTCTTCCCTGGTGATGCTCTGCCAGCCCTTTACTGTAGCCGTCTGCACTTCCTGCTTGTGTTTTGAGTGTTTTGCCCTCAGTTTTGGCTTCAGCAAGAGAAACACATGTTCAATTGGATTCAGGTCAGATGATATGACTTGGCCATTGCATAACATTCCACTTCTTTGCCTTAAAAATGTCTTTGGTTGCTTTTGCAGTATGCTTCAGGTCATTGTCCAACTGCACTGTGAAGGATCGTCCAATGGGTTTTGAAGCATTTGGTTGAATCTGAGCAGATAATGGTGCCCCAAACACTTCAGCTTTCACCCTGCTGCTCTTCTCAGCAGTCACATCATCAATAAATACAAGAGAACCAGTTCCACTGGCAGCCATACATGGCCATGACATAACAGTACCCCCACCATGCTTCACTGATGAGGTGGTGTGCTTTGGATCATGAGCAGTTCCTTCCCTTCTTCCTTCTCTTGTCTTCCCATCATTCTGGTAGTTGATCTTTGTTTTATCTGTCCATAGTATGCTGTTCCACAACTGTACAGGCTTTTTAGATGGTTTTTGACAAACTCTAATCTGGCCTTCCATTTTTAAGGCTAACCAATGGTTTGCATCTTGTGATAAACCCTTTGTATGTATTCTAGTGAAGTCTTGTCTTGCTTACAAGAGCAGCAGGATGAAAGCTGAAGTGTTTGGGGCACCATTATCTGCTCAGATTCAACTAAATACTTCAAAACTCATTGGACGATGCTTCACAGTGCAGTTGGACACTGACCTGAAGCATATTGCAAAAGCAACCAAAGTCATTTTTAAGGCAAAGAAGTGGAATGTTCTGCAATGGCCAAGTCATATCATCTGCCCTGAATCCAATTGAGCATGTGTTTCTCTTGCTGAAGCCAAAACTGAGGGCAAAACACCCAAAACACAAGCAGGAAGTGCAGACAGCTGCAGTAAAGGGCTGGCAGAGCATCACCAGGGAAGAAACCCAACATCTGATGATGCCTATGTGTCCAACACTTCAGGCAGTCATTGACTGTAAAGGATTTGCAACCAAGTATTAAAACTGACTGTTTAATTGATGATTATGTTAGTTTGTCCAAATACTTATGAGCCCTTAAAGTTGGGGGACTGTGTGAAGAAATGGTTGTTATTCCTACACGGTTCATACTACATTTTTGAAAAAAGCCTTAAATGAAAGCTGAGAGTCTGCACTTTAAGCAGGTATTCATTGTTTCATTTAAAACCCATTGTGGTGGTGTACAGAGCCAAAATGACGACAACTGTATCATTGTCCAAATAATTATGGACCTGACTGTAATTAACATTGCTTTATTTTTTATGTATGTTAGTACAGCTTATAATTAACATTTTGCTACAGCATTGTTTGGAATTCAATTTCAGTTTTCAATGTTATTTATAAATTAAAAAACAAATCACAACTTGCCTCAGAGGGCTTTACAGCATACAACATTCCTCTGTCCTTGGACCATCGACCACTGACTTGGTCAATCCATGTGAAATTTGGCACAGTGGTAGAGGGTCATGGGAGGATGCGAATGAAGCAATATTACATCAGTTGGCCAAAGGGGGGCGCTATAGCAACTGATTGAAATTGCAAACTTTGAATGGGCATATCTCATGCCCCGTATGTCGTAGAGACATGAAACTTTGCACAGAGATGCCTCTCCTCATGAGGAACAAATTTGCCTCAAGAACCCATAACTTCCGGTTATATAGATTTTCCGCCATTTTGAATTTTTTGAAAAACACTTAAAATCGATCTCTTCCTAGGACGTTTGACCGATCTGCATGAAACTCGGTGAACATAATCTAGGGACCAATATCTAAAGTTCCCTCTTGGCAAAAGTTGGAAAACTTACTAAAACTGAGCTTCTATAAGGCAATGAATATTGCGGAGGGCGTGGCTCATCACATAAAGGTGTATAACATCTCAAGGGTTTCACCGATCACCACACAACTTTGTAGGCATATGACCACACATAATCTGAGGGGACCCCTCCATTATTGACCCGATCAAACAAAATAGGGGTGCTACAGAGCTAATTTCTTATCTCGGCCTAACCCCCATATCGATTTTTACTAAACTCGGTGGATATGTAGAACAGGACGCCTCAAGGTGACTGGAGAAATTTAACTCTAATTGGCAACTGGGTGGCGCTATAACAATAGAAAAATGTTCAAAAATGGTTAAAATGTGACTGATCACTGTGGCTCTCCCTGTGGCCGAATGTTTTGGGTTTTTTTCTAATTTTTGGTATGACTAAGTCATGGTATGGTATGCTGTACATAATCACTGAAACTGTCAGTGTGTCATTCTGTCAGTCAGTCATTCTGTCTGTCCCATGTTTTTCTACTCACTGACGTGGTCAATCTATATGAAACTGCACATAGGCATTGATGATTGGCATAGGTAGATGGTGACAAAGCTACCAATGGGTATGGACTCGTTACTTTTACAGACTATTACAACATATCTGAGTTGGACAGGGTAGCAGGAGATGAACTACAAGCTAAAGGCCCGAACATACTCAGGTGGAACATACGCGGAACTGACTCCGCGGAGGTCCGCGCGGACTCAAAGCGGACGTCCACAAGGCCTGTGCGCGCAAAGCTCAGATTTTACTACCGCGCGGACACTGCTCCGCACACCAGTGACTGCTCGGCATGTATTTTTCACATCACTGGGATTTTTCACGGACTTTTTTACAGGAAACTACAACGCGGAAGTGCGCTCGACTATGGAAACCCGAATGACTGCGGACATTCCTCGCGGAGTCCGTTCCGCTTATAGTACGCCTGAGTATGTTCGGGCCTTAAGCGGTCGAAAACAGTACATTTCTTTGTATGTGATGCACTGTTGCTACGTGTTTTGACAGATTGCTCGTGTTTCTGCCCTTACACATACAGGAGTTGTTGAACTTGAACTTGTTGAAGCAGTGTCAGCATGAACTCTTGTGAAGTGTAACCATTAGGGTTGGGATCCAGATCCAGTTCTTTTTTGGAACCTGGTTCAAAGTTCCGGTTTCGGAACCGGTTCCATCACATTTGGAGTAACGGTTCCTGCAAACGGTTCCTAGATTGTAAAAAAAAAAAAAAAAAATGTCACGTGCATTTCCATTAGAGTGCGGCACGGGCCGCATATTTCTGTCCGAACCCGAACAAGCCTGACATTATCTAATCACTAAAGTACTGAGTTTGTGTCACACAGTTGTCATGGTTACAGGCTATTTAACAGGCCGGGCGTGTGCCGTGGGTGCTCAGCGGAGAGGGAGACCTCCGTGTTTGAGATGGGAGCAGGCAGCGGGAAGTGTGTGTGTGTGTGTGTGTGTGTGTGTGTGTGTGACAAAGAGTGACAGAGCTGGCCCCACCCCTCACGCATGCAGCAGGCTGTGAGGCTCTGACACAGAGAAATCTCCTCTGGATTAAATAGCGAAAATGCATCATGGACAAATGTCTTAATATTATTGCAAATTTGAAACAGAGTTGATGAGATAAAAATCTGTACAAGATAACATTTATGTAACTTAAATAAACAAAATATCTTCTGAATTTCTCCAATACTGATAGCAGAACCGTTAACGTTGGAGCTTACGTTGGAGTGAAAAAAACTGAATTTCCCCTCAGGGGGATTAATAAAGTATATAAAATTAAAAAATAAAAATTTAAATTAAATTATCAATACTATGGTCTTAAATAATTTGTCCCCGGGGCCCGTTTCATACCAGGTTTCAGTACCCATCCCTAATTGAGAGTATGTGCATTAACAAGGTCCCATGTCTCCCTGCAGCTGCTGGGCATCATCCTGAGCTGCATCTTCTGGAACCTGCTGGTGGACATGAGTGAGTCGGCCGACATGGTGGACTTCAAGCTGAAGAAGGCAGAGGTTGATTACAGCCAACTGGACCTGGCCGGTGCCGGTTGGTGTATGTGTCTGCCGAGGGACGGCGGCTACCTGCCTGTCCCTGCTGCTGAGCCTGATCTTGACCCCATCGATGTTCACCTGGAGAAGCTCAAGAAGCAGCCGCCTCGCACACATTCCCAGCTCCGAGAACTGCAGCAGTCCAGATCGGCCACTGGGCTGGACGAGGTCGACGTTGGCCGGAAGCAGAAAAGGGAACACTGAGCGGTCTTTTTAACCCTTTCTTGCCTTTTGGGTTTTTGCCTTTTTTTTCTGTCATTGTAATCATTGCATTTGTTGGAGTTGTGTTGCACTACTTAATGGTTGAACCTGTCAGTCGTTGGATCAAGAGGAATTTGGTCAGTTAAAGGGATCAAAAGTACTTTGGCACTTTGTCAATGCATTTGTTTACAACAAAAATTGAAGGAACAACATGTAACATTGGCTTTTCAAAAACATTTCTTTTGTCTTGTTTGTGGCCGTTGATACTCAAAGATTTATGGCATTATTATCACATTTTATTTTGTTTTTTGTTTTTTTTAGCCTTTGAAATTGAGCTATGTCTCATGTGCTAAAGCTTACCTCAGGCTGTTTTGAAAATAGCCCAGTAGTCAGAGGACAGTACTATTTGGTGTGTAAATTTATGGTAGCTTGAAAAGACGTTTTTCAGTGTCAGAGAAATAGGAATAGCCAAGTATGTCTTGCGTGTAGCGTCTGTGACGGATGTATACAGTTTGTGCATTATTTGTTTTTATTATGATTTTAATTTGATTTTGTGCAATCAGTGTACATTGTAAGACTGGTAGATGTGGAATAACATGGGATGCATGTTTTGTACTGTATATAAAGTAAGTTAAAAGAAAAAAACAAAACAAAACTTCAGTTTACATGTTAAGGCGTGTGTCCATATGGCATTTGTTTCTGACAGAAAGGCACATCATCAAAAAGTGCCTCCAGCATCTTTTTTGATGACACTACATTAACAGAGGGTTCACTACACAGCTTATAACAAGCTTACAACACATACAGTGATAGAAGCACAGCACTAATCCGCAACATCAGTGTCCGGTCCATCAGCTCCCACAAATGGGATTATTTGGAGTGGCCACACAAAAACTAGGAGTACTCTGAAATTAAAAAAAAAAAAAACAAGAAAGAAAATCGCTGGGTGCTTTGTTGTTTGTTCAGGCCGCTGCATGCAGCCACATACACTCTCTCCTCATTGGTAACAATTAAAAAAAAAGATGCTGGTGCTCAGAAAAAGAGTGCTATGTGGACACAGCCTTGGGCTCTCATCAGGGGGGCTTCAGTCAATTCCATTTCTAAACTTAACTTTTTATTCCATCTTTTAATGGAACAACTAAAGGGATTATCCAGACTACAAATCCAATGACAGGCTACTCTATGATGGTTTTTTGTATCTGAGTTATGCACTGTTTTGAGCTTCCCCCTAGCTCCTGCCTTGTATCAGCACTACTGTTCTTGTCAATAAAGCTGAATTTGTCTACTGATTTTTGTGCCGAGTTGCTCTGCATGTAAACATAATGAAGATGCCATAAATTTAATATGCAAACTAAAACATTTGTCCTGCCCTTAGAGATTATTTGTCACTTGGCAGTTCTCACTCAGCGTAAAGGTGCACAATGGAGTTTTCTTGTAAACAAACAAAAGTATTATGTACATTCAGTGTCAACAAAACTCACTGTGTGTATATTGAGGTCTAGCAAATGTTTTGAATTTCCTCATAAAACGTGTGCAAAGCTGATTTTAAATCCATCATTGTTTACATCTGTGTTTACTAGCTTTTAGTGTTCTTCTTACCTGCCTTTGTTGGCACATTGTTGGTGTGTAGATCAGTGAAATAGTGGGAAACCATTGGCAGGTGTGTGCACTGCATCATTCACGTGTGGCACAAAATGGCCTCCATGGCGCTACTAGAGGTCAGTAAAAGTGTTTCTAAAAGGGAACTTAATATCTGGGCATTACCTTGTCATATAAATTCTTGTTATATTTTGTATTAAAAAAACAAAATATAACAAAGAACTGATACAAATCATAGAACTCTGTCGCCTCCCAAACTACCTACTGCCAGAGGTCAAATGACAGCTCTCCTACTTAAAACGGTAAGAAAAGCAACTGAAACACAAACACTTAAAAAAAATAAAAAAGAACGAGACTTGCAGGCAAGTATACTGGGATCCAGGGACCTGATGCAACTGGAAAGCAAATGTTTACCAACCAGGCACAATCAGGAGGCCAAGAGCATCATTGCATAAAACTTAAACAGGTGGTTGAACACATTTGTTATAACTACCTCCTTCTTGCAGGGCGCACTGCCAGGATCTGATCCAACCTTGGACTGAACTCTTAAAGGTTTGACATTCTGGGGGCATCAGTAGTGTAGTGGATAGTGCCAGCGCCCCATGTACAGAGGCATTGCCTCGCTGCAGTGGTCGTGGGGTCGAGTCCAGCCTGCAACCCTTTGCTGCGTGTCAGTCCCCACTCTCTCTCTGTCTCCCCATTTCACACACTGTCCTATCCATTAAAGGCAAAAGCCCACAAAAATAATTCGTTCATAATACGTTCTGGGCAATATGCTTATTTGCTTTCTTGCAGAGAGTTAGATGACAATACTGATGCTATTTCTTGACCAGTAACAGTCTCCAGGCAACCAGTGGAGATGAGAAGTTACCAGTCCTGAACAATAAATGGCACACAGTGTTGGGGAAGCTACTTTGCAAGCATAGCTTTGCAAACTACCAATTATTGGACACTGGAGGGAGTTGAACAACAGGAAAGCTACGCTAGGGAGGAATCTAGTTTGATTAAATAAAGCCACTTACAACACTCACAAGGTTCCCGCACATTTAAATTGACAAAAAATGTAATGAACAAATCCATGACTTTTCTATAACTTACAATGATTTTTACTAATCCCATGACTTTTTCAGGCCTGGAAAATGTTTTTGTGAAATTCCATGACTTTTCCAGGTTTTCCATGACCGTGAAAAATATGTTTTTAGAAAAAGTTGTTCAAACCACTTCATAAAAAAGATATCGATGTTCTTGTAATTTGAAATTATAACAACATAATACAAAAAAAGTCCCATGCCAGCAAAAAAAAAAAAAAAAAATCACTACAAGGAAAAATAACTTGTTGACACTTGTAAAAAAAAAAAAAAAAAAATCACTACAAGGAAAAATAACTTGTTGACACTTGTCCACAGCTCATACATATACCAAATAAAATAAAATAAATAGCCCACTGGTCATGAGAAAGTACAGGAAATGTCAGATTTGGTTTTGTATACAATTTCCATCAGTCAGACACCTGCACCAAGCAGGATTACTCAGTTAGCCAGGTAACTTATATCTTAACTTATAACTTGTATCTCCATATGTTAATAAATATAAATAATTAATGCATTTGACATGTTGACAACTAATATATTGAAGTCTAATTTTACAAATTCTGCCTGACCAATGTGTTGCCTGTGCATGTCTTCACAGTGGTCAAGATGGGTTCAATTACAGTAAAGAAACAATGGTTAAGGACAAATTAAAAAAAAAAAAAAAAAAATCTGTCCTTTCATGGCCCAAAATTGTTTGTAGTTTCAGTAGTTAACTACACAAAGATGAATGTGGAACACTAGCAAGCAACTGCAAAATGTAAAACTCTTAGTTTAATTACATGTGGTTTACTCCCCAACACTGTCCACACATAACCTCCTGTAAAATGGCAATTTTTTTCAACACTTTCTACACTGTTTTTTGTACGGATTAATCAACAGAAGCATAATTAAATAACTCCAGAAGAAAAACAATTGACCTGTGTTTCCGAATTAACAAATCATTTTATCAGAATTATGAGAAATGTTTTCATGGGAAAAAAAATCTGCTAATTTCCTGAATTAACAAGACAATGTTGTAAATTTGAGTTTTTCTTCTGTTCTGATTTTCAGCTTTTCAGGCTTAATTTGTGGCTGAATATTATTTTTAGCTTTTTAAAATATGAATGGTGAGTGAGATACTGGCATCAGCATTTGCAGTAGTGATGAAATGGCTAAAAACAGAAACAAAACTAGCATCAGGTGGACTGTATTCATAACAAATACGCCGCAATAATATAAATAACCAGGGCCAATTAATCAGTCATTGATAGTGTGTGTATGAGGGTGACTTCACTACAAGCTGATTGGCTGTAGAAACAGGTGATGTGCTTCACATTCTAAAACCAGCTGCTGGTGATTTGACCAGCTGAGTTGCAGGTAACACCATTAACTGGCTTAAGACGAGCTCAGACTGGCCAGTTCACACCGCTGCAACTTTTCTCTGCAGTGTTCTAAAACCATTTCGCATCCTTGTGAATCTTTGGTCTGAACTGGCCTTTACAGGTGCTGGTAGGCAGATGTCACTTTTCGACAGCAGCTGGTTATCTGCCCTGTGCCAGTGTTTGTGCTGATAAGTTTTCCTGTATAGGTCTGTGTCTTCACCAGGCGGCAGCCTCCGGTGCTGAAAAATGCAGCCAACATGAAGTGCCAAAACTGCAGTTCTTTGAATGGCCACTTGAGGCTGGCTCGAGAAACCAGTCAACCAGACCCCCATGTTAAAATGCTCAACTTTACAGAAGAAATAAACATGTTTACAGCCTGGTACAAAAAACAGGTTAGGTCTCTGTAGCTAATTTTCCCCTTCATGACAACTGCACAAGGGAGGCAATTCTTTTTATACTTCACCCAGGCCTAAAGTTACACAGAATTAAGGGCGACTTTGAGTGAGAGTTTGTCTGCTGGTAGTGTCCTCAGTGTCTCAGTCAGATCCACCCCTTCACTCCTCTGCAGCGCTAGCCTCACGCCCAAACATTGTCACTTCAGGCTCCAATAAAACATGATGTTGACAGTTGCAGTGCTGAAGTTGAGGCTTCAAACGGGAGTCTGCAAACCAATGGGTGGCGTCCATGGTGACGAAATGTAAGCTACGTCAATCATCATTTTTACAGTCTATGGTCTTCAACAAAACTATTGTCAGTAAATCATTTTGCACCTAATTCATGCCTAGTGAATTTTCTCTTAATGTCAGCAGCACTGTTCTCACTGTTCAAAACTTAAAAATGTTAAAGTAAAATGTTTGACAAAAGCTGATCTATTTATTTATTTATTTAAATGCACATTAATCACCATTTCACTTTCCACTTCAATGAAAATGTGCCAGAGTAAGCTAATGAGCTAATCTCTCCCTATTCTTGTGTTCCCCCTCCCCTGTTTCACACACAGCACCCTTAAAGCCCTCTATCTGGATGAGATGCACCAGCTGTGTTAATTCAATTCACAGACATCATCATCATCATGAGGATCAAGAAACAGTGGGTGAAATAATTATGGCGAGGAGGTGAACTGCATCAGCTAAAAAAAACACAAAAACACTCAACGGCCTGAGAGCAGGATGTGCACACATCCAAACAAGCTGTGATTATGATAATATGGACATGAGTTGTTGTTAGAATCAGGAGGGGAAAATAGACACATTCACACAGTGTCCACACCCTTATCTGTCAGGGAACAGGCTCGGGTATTTTCAGGCTCAGTATCAATATGGCTTGTTGCACATCCATTGAGCTCAGATAATAATATACAATGTCCTGGATTCTGGGAATTCAAGTTTGCTGAAATGACTCTGTCAGTGCAGCAGAGCAGCACATACTGTCAGCAACCTACAGCCATATGGTGGAGAGAGCTGGTGAGAAGCAGAATTACAGAGACTCTGCCATTTTTTTGTGATCATTACATTATTTTCATCGTCATTACCAGTATTAGTGCCTTTACGATCAAAAATGACAACAGTGCAAAATTGCTCTCTTCAGTCTTTTTATTATCACAGTTTATTGGGGATGGATCCAGACACTGTAAGCGCTGGGGGCTCAGGGGGAATGATCTCCCAGGGAGAGTTCTTCAGATTTCTGGCAGCTATATGCACTATTTTTCAAGCCATTTGAGATAATACAGTGCCTAAAAATCTGTACATCATTTGGTAAAAACATTATAGTTGGCAAGAAAAAAAATCATCCCGTAGAACCTACATCATATTTTGTATCTAATTCTTCTCCAACTGTCTTCATCATTCTGTAACCAAAAACACAACAAATGTTGAGGATGACTAATTTTCACTCCTGCTGCCAAAGAAAAGAGGCAATAATTGTCTGATGATACTATTTTCAGTTACATAACATAGGGTAGAGCAGGCATTTGGCATAAACAACATTACTAATCTTAAAACCTATTTTTGTTTTACTATGCTGGAGTCGAGTTTACAGAATGAATGTTTCACTGACAAATCTGCAACAATTGAATCTCTGCTGTGATAATCTGGGCTGGACTGCAAATCAAGGATCCCCAACAAGACCAAGTGAATGAGCTCTGCAGTACTCTGAATTCAATATTCAGCCAACAGAGGAACATTTACTCAATTACAATTAATTTCTTTAGGGGGTAGCATAGAAAACATTAAGTGCTGG